ATGATAAATGCAATTATGTTTACTTTGTATGAATTGAACGAGAGTAGTGGAAATACATGGGAGGCTCAAACTGGGGCTAAAGTGGCAACTACATGGCCTTAGATGTCTAAAGATAAAGGGCATAGGTGACAGTGACAGGGATAAATGATAAAGCCACACATGAATATATTAAGGAAGGGATTTTGTATACAGCATCATAAGAAGGCCAATAAATCAAAGAGCACGGTTAAGACTACACATGTGCTGAGGCTGAAAAATGTGCTCCCTTAATGGAGCACATTTAACCTGATGCTGAGACCTTGAGAAGGTTTTCAAACTCTGTAAAAGTTTAAAGAAATGCTAGGACTATGGTTTTAACCTTGGAAACAAATGTGCTTACAGACACACAGTGTAGCATTTTGGTAAATCTCTCACTAATAAAGCACCAAAACACACCTCAGGAGAAAAGCATGTTTCTGAGTACGGGTGGTTGGCTATAAGGGAAACTAGGATGGATTATCTACATGTAATAATGCAGCTACACTCTTCTAAACAAGCTTATTATTTCCTGTTCTTGTATAATGACTGTATCACATTAGACTTAATGGGGGCTTAACAGAATATCTATGTAAATCAGTGTTTTTTTCTTTGCTGTTTGTTTATAGTGTTGTATACAGTCATGTTCAGGGACATTATGCTGTAATGCTGCTGAGGCATGAATCAATACTTATGAATTACAGTGCTCCCACTCTAATGGCAAGCTACTGCAATGCTGAACGCAGCCTGAGATGTATTTAGTGCACACTGAAATGACAGATGCTAAACTGCCTGTGCACTCAGCAATTATTGAGGGGCATTCTGTATAATTACATGTTAAATGTACAGATTGAACAAGCAGGACACAGGAACAGGTGTCAGCCTTGAGATCAAATGTACCGTAGTGTGAAAAAGATGAAGGTCAATGTCCTTTTTCTTTCTCTAGGAGGAGAGTTATTGAGACTGTCAATAATGTGCTGCGCCATCATCATCTGTCTTAATCTTTGGTTGCTATGCTGATCTCCTTTTGTTTATATGTGGTATTATATGTGCTCAATGTCAATGTTCAATAGGACAATAGTGGAGTAAAAAAACGATTCAAAAACGGTTTCATTCATTCATCTCACTTTTATCTGCCTGTCATGCCTTTGCTTTCTCCCTTCACTGCCCATTTCCTTGTTTCCTCCCTTGGTCTTTGCAATGCCTCTTATTGCCCTATACACGGCATTAATAATTGAGAGCATTTTATGCAGACAGTGAGTTTTGGTGCCCTGAGCCCATTGGTCACGGATCCATGGCACTAATGCTGGGTGGCAGGCCAGTTTCAGGCCCCGCACTCCAAGTCCGGGCTAGGGCACATCTGTCTGGCTGACTGGCCAATCTACGCCCCCCCCCACCCGATCCCTGAGCTATTACGCACTCAGCTGACATGTACGCAGACATGTGCGCATACACACTTCAAAGATTCACGGACCATTTACTCTGTGATCTGTAGAGCTCCAATCACACTCTAGCACCTTTTAGAAACAATCGAAGGCTTTGGACAATGACTGACATTTTCAAAACCCTAAATAACTGTGAACCTTATAAACACTGTAATTCTCACTAACAGACACACCATCATACACTCTCTCTGTTGAATCGGTATTTATCTTTATAGGACTATGATTACCTACTCTATGAAAAAGAGGGAATGGCTGTGGTGGAAAATATTATTTAGTGTTCATTGAAAAGGAAGGTAGTTTTATTGGACAGGAAGGCAGTTTAAATTGACCGGTTTTGGTTGGTTTAATGCCTATTGAAAAAGCCTGTAACTACTATGTGGCATTTATAGCGATGTTAAAGCTTTAAGGAGAATTTAAATCAAGCAGCAGAGCATTTGAGGACAACTTTAAACTCAGTAAGTTTGGAAGAACAATAGCAAGGTCATTGGCACTGTGATTTGTGTCATTGTTTGGATCACAAATGTATTGCTTAGACTCTAGAACGGTAAGCAAACAAGGAAATACAAGTGAAATACAATTTACATTTTGATGAAATGCTCGCAGCTATACACACATGCAGTAATTTTCTATATGATACAGTTAACTATCATTATATTTGTAACAATATTTTCAATCGCACAAGATATATCATAATATTTCACTAGCATTTTCTCATATTTTTTAACTGCCCAATAATAGCAGGTGTATTGTCTGTTCATTGGTAAGCTAGCAGTGTATGCCACAACTATGTGCATAGAGTAAGCCTATGTTACGTTTGATGCACAGCTCAAAATCTGACTGACATCAAAACATAAATAAACGTGTTCTTTATATTATTTTCCATTTAACTATTATGTGTAGCTGTGTTTAGGACATGTTGACTGCATGTATGAGTGTAGATACCTTAATGATTGATCTACACTCAGTGGACACTTTATTAAGTACACCTTCACAATCCATGGTCTTCACTACAACAGCTCTGTCATAAATGTACCTGTGTGAAAGCGTTCATTTTTTGTTGGTGGAAATGTATTGATTATATTATATATTAATTAGTGATGTCATGGTAAAATAATGTGCTGCACTGAATTTTATTATATTGAGAATTTTTTACAGTTTTTTTGTCATGTGGCAGAACATCAGAAAGATCTCCCAATATAATGCAGTCTAGTAAAAAAAAAACAGTAACTGGTAATCCAATGGGAGGCTGTGGCTCAGTGGTATAGTGCGCTGAACTTTGAATCAGGGGATAGCAAGTTCGAGTCCCACTGCAGTCAGCATGTCGTTGTGTCCCTGGGCAAGACACTTCACCCCAAATTGCTCCTGTGGGGATTGTCCACAGTACTGAATGTATGAAAGTCAATTTGGATAAAAGCATCTAACAAGTGACATGTAATGTAATCCTATAATCTTATTAAACACCTCAGTGATAATGTAAGAAAAACTGAAACTTACAAGCAACAAAATGCAAACTTTATTTAAGAACAATTGTATTTGACTGCATTAGATTGTATAAGTGTATCTGATAGAGATGCTTAAACTAAGCGTGGCTATTATTCTGGATGTAAGGAAGATATGGACATGGAAAATTATACTGATGATCTGTGTGAGAGCAGGTATAATGTATAAGCTTAACAGCCAGTACTAAATATCACTCTTAAGGTCTGCATGTGAGTTTATAAAAGAGACAACATTTGCACGGGTATGTATGCCTGAGTAGGAGAAGAAGAGAGGGAGGTAGACAGTGCACAGAAGCCGCGGTGCAGGTGTGCAAGTGAACTCAAGAGAGTGTTTTCAATGAGATGAAGGTGGGAAGGGAGGATGGGATGGAAGGTGGAAGTGAAGGGAGGGATCGAGCGATAGAGGGAGGGAGGGAGGGAGGGAGGGAGGAGGAAGGAGCGCTCCAGTCCTGTCGCCTTGGGTGCATCAGCAGCAGGAATTGTTCTGTGCCCTGTGGGGGCCATCTGACTGTTCTGTCACCCTCCACAGAAGGCTGACTCTGCCTTAAAGTGCTCGGCCCTGCGCCTGCAGTTCGACATGCTTGATATTTAATACATACAAAGGGAGAATATTGAGAACGCCTTGGGAGAAATGCAGTACATAGGCTGTAAGGGAGATGTTTTTTCAGTTTGTAGAACAACCAAGAATAGAGGAGCTCCTGTGCAAAGTGTGCGTGGGCAGGCTGTGAACATAATTGCCCAAAGCTGGAGCTCAATCGCAAATTTGAAATATACGAGATCCAAGAGTTAAGCACCTCTCAACAACATGCACTTGCAGTAAGTGGGGGACAGTTTCATACTGGTTATTGTGTAATGCAGTGGCTTATCTATGCCTGGAAACATACGTCACATACATTTGTGATGTTTCAGTCAAACAGTGAGGCTAACCTGAGCTGCAATGCTTCTCCCATTGTGCCCCTGCCCCTGCAATCAGTGCTAGTGTGGTGTAATTCAGGGCATCACTCCTCAATAAGGCAGGAGAATGGGCCTCAGGGGTGACCCTCCTGCTTAAGTCAACACAATGAGTGTAATGAGGTGAAATACACACACATACAGGCACACACACCCACTCACACACACTGTGGAGATGGGAACCCTTGCTGCATAGTAAGAGGATTTCATTCATCTACATGCACTGAGCTTGCTTGAGAAGTTCTCCTCACACCCACACATTGAGCAGCACCGCAGGGTTCACTCCGATCTTATTACAGGTGAGACGTAGATGTATTGCAGACTATTTTAGATATACCATAGTTGTTCTATATAGTTCTAGAAGCACTCATTTCAAGACAGAAAGCTATATTGTTGTATCTTAACAGACAGAACTTGCATGTTTTGCAAAAAATCCTCCTCAATGTCACCTAGCGGAAGATTAAACATCAAATTGACATGAAGCCCCTGTTTCTGTTTGACATGCCCGTGTTTGCTCTCTTGCACCTTACAGTCTCTGAGTTTATCATTTTCTGAGTCCATAATTAATCAGCCCTGCTATGTAAGTAGGACTGGTGCCTTTCTCTTATCATCACATACAGCAGCAACCCACGCCCTCCGGGCCATCAGCGGATTAATGATGAGTGCCTGTGATAGGAGAGCCCCTCACAAAGGCTTTATTAATTAGCCTTGCAACGACACAGTGGCCGCAGTGTGCAACACATGCTCACTCTAATCAAAACTTTAAAGGGAACATGATCGACCTCCCAATCACCCACTGTAAGGCACTGCATGATATTAAACCTTGATGCGTGCATGCATTAAGTTGTGGGTGTGTGCAATGGGAAAGTGCACCGTTTCCAAATTAGCATGGTAACTTTCACACATCGGTGACCCACCCGTTATGCTGCACTTTACTAAGAAGCCTATGAATGATTGATCAGACAGGTGGGACTGAGCAGGAAATATTTCAGAGGCGATAAAGAGGGACGGGCGCGCTGAACGGTACAAAACTGCCATATGTCACCAAAGTAAAACCGAAATGAAAGAGGTGGAGATGCATTGTACTCACTCGCCCCCCGGTGCGTTAGACGAGCATCCCGGTCTCTCGAGGCCAGCTCTTCAGATGAGTTCTCCTGGGACAGCACGCCTGGATCCTCACTATCATTCTTTGCGAAGCGCCAGCCTCCTCACAGCCTCCCCTGACTCTTCTTCTTTAGCATCACATGCAAAAACAGCTGCATGTCAAGTGAAATTCGCCTTCAGATTGTTGTTTCAGGGTAACAGTCGCCCGTCTCTCAGTATGTAGAGCAGAAGTGACAGCAGCGGATTCCTATTTGAGGGGATGCTGACGCGCAACCGGAGGGGCTCGCCTCCTGCCTTTCTCATCTGGCTCCATCAGCTCTCGGTAAAGCAGCACCATGTGACTGAAACAACTGTCAACACAAAAAGAATGAAAACATCGATTTCCAGTATGCCTTTCAGAATAAAACACTAATAAACAAATAAAATAATCCTAATGAAGATTGGATCAAATAAAACGATTAAAACTGAATATCAGCCCGCTGGAAATGTTATCAATAAACCATAATAGCATTTGAGAAAAACGGCAAAAAAAAATTGAATTAAAAAAAGTTATTAAAAGTGTTCTTGATTTTCTACTTATGTTAACGTTTGGCCAATTATAATTGGATTAATAAACCTATATTTTTAAACACGTGCAGATCAAATTAAAAATATTTGAATACAGTGTTATTTGTATTGTGTTAATTCATTGCTATGTGTAGGGTTTTGTTCTATAAATTCTAGTGACAATAAAAATCACTTTGGCTACCTTCAGCAAGGTATAGCCTATATATTGTAAAAATTAAAAAAAATAATAAATAAAAGTGAGTGTTGATTTAATTCATAATATTTATATGTAGCCAATTAAATCATGTCAAGTTATTTATAGAACTTCATGCAATTTAAATATGTTTCACTTAGCTTAGCTCTTGTCAGTGTTCTCAGGAACACAAGTAGGCCTGTGTTACAATGTTACAACCATCACAACCTTACAACAGCGAAGACATGCAACCCTCAAGAACCAGACATAATGTTATATTGGCTTCGTAGACGAAAATGGGATTTCAGGTGAAAACTCGACTTACAGCGTCTTTGAGCACCTGTAAAAGCGCTAACAAATTAAATCTATTATTATTATTATTACATTCAACATTTCTCTAGAAAAAAGACTTCACAGGTATGCTTCATTGTTAACAAGCAATGTGTTCAATTTTGCATCAATTGTAACATGTTGTTAGCCACCTTAGCTCAGGCCACATTTATTTTATTGAATATTTGCACCCGCCAGTGGTTTAGGTGGAGCTTTTCTGGAATTGCATGGTATTATGTATAATAAAACAGCTTTATTGTCCGATGAATAGTTTGACACATCAGCATCACCTCAGCTATTTGGCCCATTTTAAACAACAAAGAGTGCATCAGTTGAAGGCCTACACATAATTAAGCTCTACTTCTCCAAATCTTAAATCGGTTTTGAATGTGGGGTTATAATTTCCTCACCTTGTATAAAGCAATACACATTATTATCCTCCCCCAGAGAGCTTCTGATTTCCTTGTTATTTTTCGTATTCAAAGTGTGCATCTATTCTAGGACATAGACTGTATACATTCTAGTGTTTAGGTTAGGCCATTATATTGTATACAGTAATGGGGGGAATACATCCAACTAACTATATGCTTTTACTTTGAAGGAAATACCTTATATGCTGTGTTTTCCAAGTTTGTGTCTGGCTTGACGTAGCTGTAAAGGCACCCATTCAATAAAACTGACCTCATAGACGAGTGCCTCCAAGTGGCCAGCGTTAGAATAACATGAAATGTTCAAAAGCGATTCTAGGGACCAGTATTTTCACCAAAGCATAATCCCATTATTAATTATTGACATGCTCCTCATAATAGCCTCTGTATTTATTCTTCATCAAGTCTAGGATTTTTCTTCATGGCAGAATAGTGAAGAAAAATCAGACGAGACTCTGCCTCCAAGGGCACATGCATAATCTTAAACTTTTATGAGTATGGGCCTAAATAAAGAAACATTCATATGCTTGTGGGACAGCTGGTGGTAGCTGTAAGTTTCAGCTACAGTATGTAGGGATAGTTTGTGTTGATAAATGTATTTTAGAGCTGAAGGGAGCAGCTCATTCAGCTGATTTAAGGTTATGATGTATTATTTGCCACAGTAGGTGTTAGGTGCACCAATGACAAATATTTGATGTTTTCCTTGTTGCACAGCAGCTCAGGTGACACACAGTATTTCAGCATGAGTAATGACATCTTTTGTATGCCTGTGGTGTAAGCAAACCACTGTTTCACCGCAATTATTTGGGAGAGTCATTCAGAATGCTGCGAGTGTAAGAAAATATACAATCTAGTTTGCTGTCATGTCTTCGTCAGCCTCACAAAATGAGGAATTGGCTGTAAGATAATAGTGAAACAGACAGTGTTTGCATGAAGAATTTTCGCTGGGCTGTTTGAGCGCCAAAAAGTATGACAAGAGAAACAGATAAAGAAAAAGACTAACAGAGGGAAAGGCAGAGAGAGTGGGAACTAGAAGCGACAGCCTAAGACGCTTTCAGAGAGAAATAAAGGCTTGTCCTTTTGAGGTCTTTGCTCTATTGTTGTCCACCTACTAGCCAGACTCTTGGGTCTCCACCACAATGCAGGTCCCCTCAGAGCAGCTCACCACTGGCTGTCCTGTCACTTCACATTAGTGTCTTTGTGGAGAACAGTAGCCCCTGAGGGCCTGGACACACTTGTCATGAAAGAAGTGTTCTAGACACACACACACACACACACACACACACACACACACACACACACACACACACACACACACACACACACACACACACACACACACACACACGTACACGCACACTCGCAGTCACTCGATAAGGAGGTGTTGAGCAAAAACTGGAACACAAGGAGAACTTCCATCAAGGCTCCTAATAGAAGTATAACAGTGAACTTATTTCAGCCTTGGCTTTTCTCT